TTTAATTGATGCAATTCATGCTCTTTAAGTTTTGTTCTTAATTTAATTTGAGGATTGAAGTTTAATTCATTAAATTTAAGTTAGTAGCATTCAACTAAGTTTAATTCAGATTCTATTTAATATCATTTTTGCATGTTTAAGATTATTTGGTTTGAGACAATTTTTGCATGTTTTAGGATCTTACATATTAGTTTAGATTTAATTTATACGTTTTTAAGTTTACTAAGTAAATTTACATTCTGTTTTGTTTAATTTAAGTTGTTAAGTTCATATTTAGTTTATTTTGTATGCTTTATTAGGTTGTCGTTTAGTTAGTTAATTTAAATAGTTATTTAGTTATTTGCATTCTAATTTCTTCTAGATATAATTAACGGTGAACAATTTCAATACTTAGTTCTCTTCCATATATTTCAATCTCCATGAGAATGATACTCTACTCGACCTATATTACTTGTTCTGATTCTGTACACTTGCAAATTATAGTGATGAATGAAGCAACGAAAGAAAGATTTTCAAAGAATTGAAGCTATGACCTTTTTACTTAGATTTAGGCTATTGAAAGAAATTTTAGTGAAAATTAAGGTTAGAAACGAAAAGTGGAAGAAAAAAAGAGTCTAGAGAAAATTTTTTGGGATTTTTTTGACAAAGGTATGCAGTGGCGAGCAACCAACGACCACCGGTGAACGGCGGCACAAGTGAAGGTCACCAGTTGGATTATAGGCTGGCTTTGGGCTTTCAACTATTGGATCTTTTTTTTTACAAAGAAAAACTTTTTTTTTAAAGAGGTTTAAATGAATTAGAAAAAAAATTTGAATTTTTATAGTTATTAAAAAAAGTCAAAATGGTGCATTTTGGGGTAAAGGTTTCGTGTGCCAACCCAACTTGATGACCTACACATTTTACTCAACAACCCATATATGCTCAAGACTAAGATAGGTTTGGTTGAATCGCCCAAAACCAAAAAAATAGACTTAATTGCCAACGAACTACTCCAAATCATGAAAAAACACTTTCAAACTACTCGAATCATTTCTTGGATCGTTGACCGATGTTGATCGACCATTTTGGATAAAAATTTTATTATTTTATTATTTATTTTTTATTCTGATGTTTTATTTTTTGCTAAGTTATTTAATTTCTTATACATGCATATCTAAAATTCTATATCCTTAAAATAAATATTTCATATTTTCTATAATAAGATAGTGTTAGTATAAATAAACTTAGATTCAAAAACTAGTAAATCTACTCATGCTAAAGAATAATTTTTTTCATAACAAATAAAAAGGAGAAAAAGGATTTTTTTTCGAGATGGGATTTTAAGGAAGTCATAGTAGTGATTCTTAAAAAAAATCTCTAGGTAAAATAATTTTTTAAAATACTGTCAAAGTATTAGGGTATTTAAAATAATTTTTAATATATTTTTTTAATAAGTTTTAATTAATTTTAAAATTTTATTAAAATGATAACTTTTTTAAGTGACCAATCATATCTATCCAAAAAAAATTGATAGCAACTTCTTTTTTTGGTTTGATTTTAAAATCTCATATAGTGGTCTCAAAACCGTTATAATAATAGGATATATATTTGGATGTAAAAGCAATGGTAGCAATGAATAATAAGATGAAAAAATGACTATAAATGACATTCGGTTAAAATTTGTATATAATGAAATTTTTAGTATAGTTTTTACATTTATGAGTTAATTTTTATAACAAATAATAAATTTATTAAAACTTATTAATAATATTTTACAACTAAAATTATTATTTATTTATGATTTTAGCTATTTATTTATTAAATAACTATATAAATGATATATTAAAGAATTATAATGGTGTTGTCTGAAAATATTTAAATAAAAAAACTAAAATAACAAATAAATAAATAAATAATAGAAAAGCCAAAAAATCTAAAGTTACAAGTGATAGGGACATTTTGATCCCTACATTGTAATCTTAAGGGTAACCAAAAAAAAAAAAGAGGGGGCTAGGGGTGTAAATGATACATTAGTACTCGCAAGCTACTCGGGTTCGATTCGAAAAAAATTCGAATTCGGTTCGATTATTGTCGAGTCGAGCTCGAGCTCGAGTAGCTCGACTTATCGATCGAGCCGAATTCGAGTATTATTATATCTGACTCGAGTAGCTCGCGAGCCTAATCGAGCTTTTATATTTACATAAAATAATTCGAGTCCGAGTTCGAGTTCGAGTTCGAGCATGAATAATCGAATTTTTATCGAGTATACGAATCGAACTTATTTTTACATATTAATCGAGCTTAATCGAGCGAGCTCGAGTAGCTCGAATTCGATCACGAATCGAGCTCGAGCTTGAAAAATAAAACTCGATCGAGCTCGAGCCGAGTATCGAGCCCCGAGTTGTGAGTCGAGCTCGAGCTCGAGCTCGAGCTTCTCACTACTCGGCTCGGCTCGACTCGTTTACAGCCCTAGAGGGGGCATGAGTAAAATTAAAGAATGTTGCGGTGGAAGTGGATTTTTCCACTGGACCCTTAAAGTCAGTAAATTCTTAAACCTCCAGTGCAGTGAAAAAATGTGAAATGCATTAGTCTTTATTTTCCAAACACTTCTCAGTCCAGTGACATCTTTCAATTGGATCTCAATCTTCAATCGAAACCAAATGAAGCCTTAAAAGGCTTCTTTGAACGGACAAAAATATTGTTGTTAATCCAACAAGGCCTTTAAGCTTACTTGACATTTTATTTTAATTCAAGCCTAATAAAATTTTAGGAGTTTCAACTTATGCCAATTGTAAATGGTTTGTAAAGTTTATTCAATAAAAAAGTAGCCGTAATGATGAAATATTCACATGTTTAGCAGAGAAGGAACCGTTCATTATGAATGGTAAGAAATAATAAAAAGTGCAAAAGGACGGGGGAAAAGCGTCAAATTACATCAGAGTCAAGGTTTTTGTTTTTTTTTATTATTATTATTATTCCAGTTGCATCATTTCCATCTATATATTAAATTACTAATTAAATTGGGTATCACAAGTTTTAAACAACACCAATTTATTTATTGAAGTTGAAGTCTAGTTAAAATTGTTTATATAATTATTTTAAAAAAATAAAAATGAATATATTTAAAATTTAAATTCTCATATTTGTAATTTGCTTTTTATTTTTAAGTTACGGCTTCTTTCATAAAATAAGACATTAATTTATTTTATAATATTATTTGAAAATCCTAGTAAAATGATAATATATATAATTTTTTGTTTACAAAATAGGATTTAGATTTGAATTAAAGCTCCATTTGTTTAGCAAAAAATAATTTTTAAATAATAATTTTTGAAAATTTTTACATTTTTGAATAAAAAGAGATTTTTTGTTATTTGTATGAGTTAAATTAAAAATGTTTTCCGTTATTTGGTTATTTTTTGAAAAAATTATTTTTTTCAAATAATATTAATATAACTATTAAACTATTAAAATCATTTATTATTAAAATATATTGAAATTATTTATTATTAAAATTATTAATATTTAAAAATAATTATATTTTAATAATAATATTTAATATTAAAATATTATGTTAATATAAAAATACTTAAAATAAAATTATTTATTATTTTTTATCTTATTTATTAATATATTAATATATTATTTATTAATAATATTTATTAATATATTATATTAATAGTATATTGTTTATTAATAATATTATTAATTAATATATTATTATAATATTTATTAATTAAATTAACAATATTTATTATTATATTATTTATGAATAAATATTATTTATTAAAATTAAAATATTAGTATAATATTTATTTATAATAATATTTATTAATATAATATTATTTATGAATATATTATAATATTATTTATTAAAATTATTTATTAATAATATATTATTTATTAATATAATATTATTTATAAGTAAAATTATACTCAAAAGTATTAATAAATAGTTTTACTCATAAATAACTTTTTTTGAAAAATATCTTTCCTATTTTAAATCGGTAAGACAATTAAAAAAAAACATTATTTTTCATTGATCAAAAAATTATTTTTTATTGATCAACCAGTTTTTCACCAAACAAATGCCTAAAAATGCAAAAATTATTTTTTAAAAATCTTTTTTCATAAATCAAATGAAACCTAAAATTTTCATCAATTTCTTTTTTTAATTTTGCATAGACTTCAAAGGAACATGATAATTTATCCTTAACATAATTTTTACTGGAAAATAACTCGCAGGGCCGCACCTCTATATCGGGCTTAAAAAATTATTTTCTTTTTTAATTATTAATTTTATTCAACTTTATTTTATTTTCTTGTTAATTACCATCTTTTAATAATTTTTTTTGAAATAACTGAATTATTAGGACCAATATTATATATATATATATAGAATAAATTTATTGCTTATTGTTGATTGATGATTAAATTTTGAATTTACAATAAAAAAATTACCATTTAACTTAATTTGAATAGGAGTATATTATGAAAATTTATGCAATCAAATGCAAAAAATGACTCGATTTCAATAATAATAATTATCTCTTCCTTCTCTCTTAGTCACGTCTATTCTCACTGTTTTTTTTTTCAAAATGAAAAAGACCTGCAAACCTTAGACCGTGGGCCTTAACAAATATATCAAATATAGTTTGGCGTCAAGAGTTGTTGAGGGAATCAGCTGGAAATAAATAGGAAAATCCCCGCTTCTTTTAGTGTTCGGAAGGATGGGTATGTTTGAATACGTATTTATATGTTTGCGTGTCAAATGGAGCCAACTTACTTGTTTTATATCCTTCATGGAATCTTCCACTGGCTACAGTACGAAAATTAAGGTGGAAGCCGATATGACTGACTTTGGACGAGGACTGGTTCTACAACTTGAATAAAGACAAACCCTTATGATAAGACATTCCCGATTAGTGGGTAGGGGACCGATCGAAGAAAAAGATACACCCACAATTTGAGAAATGCATTCATAGCTCAAGTCGGCGAGGTGAGCAGGGAGTCCAGCAGTATATAAGAAACAACTAGCGATGAATCTCAATATTCTCATCAAATGTCTTTTTTTTGGAGGCAACGAAACATTCTTTACACTGGAGGAGGGAAGAAGAAAAAAGACAGTGGATCGGTAACACGCAAGAGGAAATCATCAAAAAAGAAGCAGCAACGGGTATTTTTCACAAATCCCATCCTATCCATTTCATTCATTCATTCAATTCTATTTTTAATTAATGAAAACGAATCCCATTTTGCTCGATCAGAAGGAAGGCCTCAAACACTTGGAAGTAGAGATGGTAAAGAAAGAGATCAGTAAAGAACCAGCTGAAAGGTACCATTTTCACAGTCTTTCCGGATCTTCCATTCCTCTATTTTATTTGTCCTTCTTTTTTCTATTTCCATGACTCAAAATCATGTATTTTTATAATATTTTATTTCTTAATATTTTATATTAATTTTTAAAAAAATTTTAACATTAAAATATGACATCAGTTTTATGAAACAAAAAATTAAAACTTTAACGTAGTAAAATACACTAAAATCAAAAAATTTTCTTGGTTTCTATAAAAAAAATTAAATAAAAACCATTTTGAAACATGGAGTATATATATTATTTTTTCCAAAGACTTGTTATTCACTCTAAAAGATTCTCTTTAATTTTTTTTTTTTATAAAAAGACATAATCTTAACATAACTTTTTATATTTTTTTCAGTTTTCACCAAAATCTTTATTTTTGGTTTCAAGTGGGAGGGATTCAGATTGTTGTCTTTTATTGGATTAAATTTCGAATTCAAACAATTTTTTTGGATACGGGTCATCTATTTGCAGATCCTGCACCATTTATCTTCCACAGTCTCTCTCTCTCTCTCTCTCTCTCTCTCTCTCTCTTTGAAATTCTTCAACTCTTATTCTTCCTACAGTTCAAATGCTCCTCGGAAAAAGAGCAACAGCTCATGGCTTGAGTTTAGGGCAGAAGTAGGAAAGCTTGAAGAGGAAGTGGCAGTGAGAAGGGCAGAGACAAGTCTCATGAGACAGCAGCTAATGGAAGCAGAAACCAACCTCGAAGCTAGCCGAGGAACAGTAACTGAACTAAGGATGATCAAAGACCAGCTTCTCCTGGAGAATTTACGTGACCAGAGTCTTGTTAATGATTTGACACGCCTTTTTCTTGATTGAAATTCTGCCGTTGAGAAAGCAGAACAAAAAACAAAATCGATGATCTTAATGTTTATTTTTATGTTTTGTAAGGCAGTGCAAGGTTTTTTGCTAATAAAATATGTCGATGTTCTCTTCTACCTAGCAACAGTGACTGCATGCATCGTAACGAAATCAAATTCATTAATTTTCTATTTAATCTTTAAGGTACATATGACAAGTATAAATGAAGTCTCATATTAACGAAGAGTCAAGAATATTGAAATTTTGGACCTCGATTCTTTAGAACAACTATTTTTATATTTTTTATGCTTCGAAGGTTACTAATGATGATTATCCTTTGTTAATAATCGTGTGATTTTCAGAAAAATATTGGATTTTTAAAAATTTTAATAGTCAGAATTTAATTCTTAATAATTTTAAATATATAAAAAATGATGATTATACCTTAGATAATCAAAATTTAATCTTAATAAACAGCCTGAAATATTAAAAAAGTGATAATTAATCTTTTGATATTTTTTATCTTTATTTTTATTTTTCTTTTAAACTTCGACAGAAAGGTGTTTTTCTTTCGCGTAGCGTAAGTTGAAAGAAATTGAAATCTTTGTTTTTCCTAGAGAATTAAGTCGTACAGGGTTGCTTCCCTTGTCATGCAGCGTCCTACTTGTACCTGTGGTAGTTGAGCTTTATGTTATTGCACCCAGGCGCAATAAGATAACGAAAAACGTTGTCATATTTACATTCTGTTTGATTCGTGAAAAATAATTTTTATATTTTTAAGTATTTATTTGGTACAAATTAATTGATCAATGAAAAATAATTTATTGATCAATAGAAAATGAAATTATTTTTTTAAAAATTATCTTACGAATTTAAAATAAAAAAGATATTTTTTGAAAAAAAATTGATTATGAATAAAATTATTTATCAATACTTTTAAATATAATTGTACTTAAAAATATTATATTAATAAATATTATTATAAATAAATATTATACTAATATATTAATATTAATTAATAATATTATATTAATAAATAAATTATAAATAAATAATTTACTATTAATATAATATATTATAAATATTATTATAATATATTAATAAATAATATAAAGAATAATAAATAGTTTTATTTTAAGTATTTTACATTAACATAATATTTTAATATTAAATATAATTACTAAAATATAATTATTTTTTAATATTAATAATTTTAATAATAAATAATTTTAATATTTTAATAGCTATATTAATATTATTTGAAAAAAATAGATTTTTCAAAAAAAAAAACAACAAAAAATATTTTTTATTAACTCATTAAAACAATAAAAAAATTTCTTTCAATTCAAAAAATATAAACATTTTTCAGAAATTATTTTTTGAAAGTCATTTTTTGTGAAACAAACGGAGCGTTAATAGTATTCACAAAAGATGCATGCGTTTCGGTTCAAAAAATTTTTATAATAAATTTCACATAATTTAAATAAAAACAAAAGGTAAAAAAAATAGGGATAATATGTGTTTATTTTAATTGATTTTTTTATGAAAGTTACGATAACAAATGTTTATTTTAAATGATTTTTTTTTTACGAAAGTTATGATAACATGTGTTTATTTCAATTGATTTTTTTTATGAAAGATACTTAATTTTTAAAAAGATAAAAAATATGACAAAAAAAAGATCTCGTAAACGATGTCATATAGACACTTTTATTAAGTTTAAAATATTTTCCTTAAATTAAAGTATTAAATAATCACTTTATTAATATTATATATAAATTAATAATAAAAGATATACTTTTATATATACTTCAAAATTGATTGGGATAAAATACCTTAAATATGCTTCCATTTCGATCTCCTCTTTCTTTAAAAAAAAAAGCAACATGTTTCAATATAACCTCGAATTGAAAAAATTTGACTCCTTATCCAATAGGGATTGATCAAACTTGTTGAATACAAATTAATATGACATCTTTATCAACCAACACAATTTACTATAAAATTGATTTAATAAAAAATTTATAAAAATGACATACAGGTTCATTAAATTAAGATATTAAATAATAATTTTATTGATATATAAATAAAAATGTAAAAAAAATGAATAATTAAAAATATATTAAAATATTCGAGCAAGACATAACACCTTAAAGTCGTTTCCAATTTTACCCTAATTAAAAAAAAAAACTCGATTTAGTCTCAATTTTAAAAAAAAAATCGAATCCATATGAACTGAAATCCATTGAATTCGAGTGTTTTGTCATATACACTAACATTGACATTTTTTTTAAATATTGATTGACCAATTTCTTTTATTTTGACATGTTTTTAATTGAAAAAATTAAAAACAAAAGAAATGAAAGGCAAAATGAAAAATGAAATTAGGTGCCACATACACGCGTTCGTTATTTTTTATAAAAGATTATCTAATTTAAAAAAAAAAAAAAAGAAAGAAGAACATTAAAAATGGGGAAAAAAGATGAAAAGCAAAAAAAAAAAGAGTTCACACCTGACATCAGCTATGATGAGCTTTTATTGAAAATTTATATAATGAATTAAAAAATAAAACTAAAAAATCCAAAAAAATTTTAAATTCAGATACAAAATTAACACATCCACTAATATAATTTTCTTTAAAAATGATCAAATAGAAAAAGTCAAAAATAAAAAATCAAACATATATTTTAATAATCATAACGAGTGGCCTATATTTAAAAAATCAAAATATAAAAAACTATTAAATATTAAAAAAGAGAAAAAATTAATAAAAGATCAAATGTATTGACATGTTGTATATCATTGATATAAACTATGTTTGACAAAAAATTTTAAACAAGAAAATATTTATCAATTATTTAAAAAATAAAAAAATGTTTAAAAAAGGAAAAAAATAAAAGATCAAATGTATTGACATGTTGTATATCATTTCCTGTTTCTAAAAATCTACAATATCAATGTCTTGTCATGCCTTTCTTGTCTTTTTCTACCTATCTTTATCAATTTTTAAAAAGTAATGTTGAGATCTTCTATGTTGTTAGTTGGTTTTTCTTATTTTAATTTTAAAACAAATAAAATGCATCACACATTTTTTCTATTCATTTGTAAAGTGGCCAAGGATAGCAAATAAGATAAAGGAATGGATATATATATTATTTTTATTTTTTTCGAGAAAAAACAAGACATTTCATCAAATAGATAACAAGTGCATAACAATAAAACTATTTGGGCGAGAACAAAAGCACCCAAAGAATGATTATAAGACAATCATGAATAAGTTATTCTCAGATTCTTTTTTCAAAACTCAACCAGATAATATCCTTCATCCTTCAGAGCTCATCAAACTATGTTTGCCTTTGTGTTGTGAGGTCATCTTATGATATTGCCTCTATTTTATATCCAAGCTGTCTTTTTCAAGTTTTTAACTTAGATATATCCCCTTTTTTTTTTTCTTTTTTTTCTTTCTTTCTCTTTTTTTTTTTTAAGCAAAGTATCTTTTCACAGCATTTGAGTTTATCGGATTAGACAAATCATTTCTGTCCATTTATACCAAAATCAATGCTTCACCGAAAAAAAGTTTTCTTCACTAAATATGGACCTTTCCAATTTGGTGTCTATTTTTTTCGATTGTGATATTGATTTGAAAGAATCTTTTTCAACACTAAATCTATTCTTGGAAGCGACAAGGGTGGATTTTTTTATTATGTGCTCTCATCATCCTCTTCGATATAGTTGACCAAGGTAAAGTGTTGTAAGTCTTTTCTTTTTTAATGAGGTTTAACTACTTATAGTGATTCTTGACCCACTTTGCTTCTTCTAGTTTAACTTCCATTAGAACTCTTATAAGAAAATTTTTACTTCAATCGATAATACAGCTTTCATTTCATAAACTAACGAAAATAGGATGGCCCTAGTAGATGTTCAAATTAATGTTCTATAAGCATGCAAAGCAAAAAGTAACTTCTCATGCTAATATTTGTAATTATTAGTCATTTTCTCCAAGATCTGTTTGATTTCTTATTTGCAGCTTCTATTGTCTTATTCATCTCCAGATGATATGGTGTCAAATTATGATGATGAATTTTGAATAAAGTGCATATTTCATTCATCATTTTACAATTCAAGTTTTTGATGTCCAAAATAATCCTCTTTGGAAGCCTATATTTACCTATTATCTTTTTTTTTATGAACTTACATACCACTGATCAGGTCATGCTAGCATATGATGTAACTTCTATCCTTTTAGTGAAATAATCAATTATCACAAAAATGAATCGACGCTCATTTGAAGCTTTTAGGGTGATAGGACCGATGACATCTATGCCTCGCACAGAGAATGGCCATTGAGGTGCCAAAACATGAAAAGCTGACGTAAAAGCATAGATCTTATCAGCATAAATCTAACACTTATGACATTTTCTAGCATAATCAATATAGTCCCTCTTCATTGTCAACTAATAATAACCAACCTTCATAATTTGTCTAACCATCATGTGACCATTCGTATACGCCCTACAAACCCCGTCATGTATTTCTTCAAGAATTTTCTTTGTTTCAATTGCATCCATACATCTTAAAAGCACATGATATCGGTTTCTTTTATAAAACGATATCCCCATTAAGAAAGAAACCCATAACTAGCCTTCTAATAATCCTTTTATCGTTTTCTGTTGTATGTTTCAAATATTGTTGACTTTTAATGTATTGCAAAATATCCTAATACTATGGCTTCCCATCAACTTCTTTTTCAATTTCTGAGTAATGTGCTGGTGCATCTTTTACCTCTAACTTGATAGGTTAAATATCAGTATTTGTAGCTATTTTTATCATTGTAGCTAGAGTAGCCAGTGCATCAATAATTTGATTCTCTTCTATAGGCAGATGTTCAAATTAAATTTTCTCAAATTTCTTGACTAGCTCAAAAATATACTCATGTTATTGAATCAATTTCAGGTCTCTTATTTCCTATTCCCCTCATAATTGATATATAACCAAAGCTAAATCTTCAAATATATCCAACACTTTAATTTTTTTTCAGTTGTTACTTGCAAACCTATAACATAAGCTTTGTATTCTACTACATTATTTATATAATTGAAATTCAATCTA